TTGTCTAGCGCAGTGACGGACATTCATGTTTTGCGCCTTATTAGCTGGTCTGTATTGCTTCCTCCACCGTCGAATAGCCTTACTATCTTCCTACACGATCGAAATTACTGAATGAAACGCGCCACTGCAGAGCATCAGTTTATTTCGTTTTTAGGGTATGCACTATCTGTTGTTCTGATTGAACAATCATTGCATGCTTAATCCCTGCCACCATATGACCATGACAAATTCCGCTGACATACCTCACGATATTGGCATCCGCATCTTGATGGAACTCTGCTCGAATGCAATTTCTACTGACCTGATTGTTAATCTTTGTGGAGACTTCATGTTTGGTAAATCTGGACGTTACTATGGGCTCATGAAAATTAAAATTTCGTTTGCAGACGCTACATTATCAATTGAACTGGCATAATCGATGTAATATTTAATACAGTCAGTAGCCATTCGTCGTACTTTTTACTTCAGCGCGTTGTTGTCCTAGTAATCGTAATCGCTCCTTGCTACAACACTATCTGGGTGCTCCGTCTTTCGTGCGCGCTGCATCTGCAGGATTTTTTCCTTCTGTATCTTTCACTTCGTTTCTGCTTTTGCTTATTATCATAACCAGTAGTTCATTCTTTTAAAACATGACATGAATCTTAAATTTTTGTTATCCCAGCACTAACCTGGCGCGAATTCATTTTTGCTTTCACTCGCATCTCCGATGTGTAACCGAGCCTTTTAACGAGTTCATAGAAACCTCACCTATGCAACTGCGATACATTTTCAGAAACTGTATTTGTCCCATTTGTACTAAGGCCGCCTATGCTATTCACCTCTGAACTACCTACTACATGCATATTGACAGACATTCAACTATTTGCTCGGTGCATCCATTTTGCATCCGGATAGTCAAACATGAAATCCAGTAAAATCTTTCACTTTTTTGCCCTCTAAATGCGTCCATTTTAAGTTTACTCCTCGTTTAAATCTCTTCACTTTTTTGCTTTTTATAGGCTATTTCTTAACCTAATAGCGTTTGTAGTTGTCACTGACTCCGTTTCCTACTTGGTGGCAATTTTCAGATCCCGGCGGGCTCTCTTCTCTTTTTGGACGTGATTCAAAGACTTCGCTCACTTTCCATTCCAAACACATCTTCCGCTTCAGACGACGCTTGCCGCTTGACTCGTTCTTTCCGACAAGCAGCAAGATTATTCTTTCTATCCATCACTGATCGCGGTGCAGCTTCAATAACAATCGTACCGTGTATCTGCTTGTACAATGTTCCTTCACCCCTGAATCTAATTCGTAACTCTTGCACCAAAAAACCGTATTACTGGCACCTTCTACCATCGTCGTATGGATTTCGTCTAACGGTGACAAATGCTTACACAGGACCGGGTATGATGCACTCTTAGTGTTTAACACTTGTGTATTGGTTCACTTGCAGCTTCTACTATCTTGTTTCTCAGCCTGATCGTCGATATACTACCGTTTGCCGTTATCGAGTTGTGGCTTTCTTTGAGATTCGAACTTTCCGATTTTTTTGAAGTGGTTACGTCCCACGGCTGATTCACATGATGCGCAGATATTTCCGACTGAATTGACACCACTGGCTTGGGCATCGCGGTCTCATATATCATACGACATTTTCGCTTCTTTTGACTACTTATTTCGAAACATTCCTCAGACAATTCCTCGCACGTTCATGGAATCAACTCGGCATATTTTAGTTTAGGTTGTTTATTTCTCATTGTAAATTCACCCTACCTTTTTTAAAGCTCATCATTCTTATTAGAGAGAAATGCTATTGTGCAAAATGTCATACCACTGCTAACTGCAGTAGCGCTGCTGGGACGTAGATTCGTTTGGATGACCAAACTTGACCTACCCAAATTTATATTGCATATCGATTTCCGAAACGCATCACACACTCAAGCCCCTCTTGCATGTGTTTGTATTCGCTGTATCCTCTGTTGTGTCACAAATGTGTTATTTCGACTTTTTCTATGCCGGACACTGTGTCATTTATGTCCTTCTTATGCGTCTACCGTGGTCACGGCGTAGCTCAGTGCATCCGGCGGTATATGTCAAAGCCTTCCTACATCGCTCTTTGCATGAACGCCAATGTGTTATACGTACCCACTGGCCATCTGCTTCGCCCCTTCTTATGGCTGGATCATTTTAATCTCTGACGTCGCAAACGTTTTGCTTCCGGTTTAGAATTGTCCTTTAGTGGCCTGATTATACACGATCTCAGTGAAACCTATTTTTGAATCGCGATTTTCAATAATGGTACTACGGAAAATTTACAAAAATTCCTTCTTTTTTACCCACAGCACTGTTCGCGTTTCGCGAGTGGTCAACTAAAAAGTGCACTGCTATTACATTATTGCACCATCGGCATCGCCCATAACTATTTTTTCCGGTGTGAAACTCACTCACTGATAGCTTACTCCGTGCCCTTCTTTGTCCGAAATAAACAGAGCGAAGCTACCCTCTCTTCTACCTCCGGTAAATTTCTCAGTGTACTCCCTCGCGACTCTCCTTTTCGACAACAGAACGAATACGATAGGTATACAAACGATATTTCTATATGCCTGTGCACGTTCTGTCCAACGAAGACTTTCGCTGATGTTTCGTGAACATTGCATTAATTTGTTCTCCAAGATAATTCCGTAGACTTACATATCCTGATGGCGTCTGAGATCGTAACCTTCGAAAACTGGTATTGATTTCGATTAGGTGATAGGATCTGGTTTCGGTTTTACTGGAAGCTCCTTGCGGCATATGGGGATGTTGCTAATCTGGTTACAAATTTCTACTCTACCGACTCTTGAATCTTACTGATTACATTGGAATTTTCGAGCATCGCGCGTCAAAAAGTCATGCAAAAATTTACTGTCATTTACTATTCCATCGTTAACTGTACTTTCACCACATCCAGAAAACAGCGTTATGTGATTTAGCAGCTCGATTTATCTATGTGCTTCGGAAGTCGAATGGTGTTATACTAGACTCTTTAGTCGAGGCAAATTCAAAAAATTCTTATACGCTCACTTTGCGAAGTACAGGTTTCGAGAGCGCACTGCACATGATTAGGCTTTCCTCGCATTGCTGAACTGCGTTGAAAGTGCATGGTAACAAATGACGTTATTCCGCGTGCGTGCCCGATAATATAAATATCAGTGAGGCAACTCAGATGCGCATGTCTTCTCGTCCACCGCTTTCAGTATTCATTATTGGATCTTGACGTTGTTCATGGGTCCTGGTAGAGAATGCGCTTTTATTTACCCTTGTTACCATATTCTCTGTGTATACGCTTGATGATTGCGGTCAGAATCCTAGTATATCACTGTCGTCTTTTGTCCTCATTACCTAGATAACTTAGGTGAATCTCCAAGTTTTCTCTTGTCTCGATGTATTTTCCATATTTATCATCCGTTTACTCCTTGTATTCTCCTCCTAGGTTGTGTTTTTCTTGATTTTCTGGCATCCATCCGAATGCAAAACAGGAAACCATTATCACAACCGTCGCGCTTTAACATGCCTGCCTCAAATGTATACACACCGCTGGACTCTGCAGCTGAAGTTACCTCTCTGCAACTTCATGATTTAGTTCAGTTTTCAGGTATCTTTAGTGTATTTCGTTTAATCTTTGTAAACTTTCCAACTATGTAATTCGAAGTCGTATCTCAGTCATTTCGTCGAATCTCCCCAGCAACGCACATTACTTTTTTCAACGTACCAGTTCTGTTTGAATTTCACCACCAATTAGGAACCTTTAGACCCGTTCAGTGCAATCATCGTAAACCAGATTGCAGTCCACTTTCAAATGTTTCACCAAGTGCTTTGTCTGCCATTGTTTTTTGTACCCTAAATTCAGCTCTGTTCATCATCCATATTGCATATATCTATGTACAATGCATCCCATTATCTAGATAGACATTATCAATGTAACAAGATCATTCACTGGGAATGGACCGCAATTAAAATCGCCAGACGGACTATTTGGGCATCGGCAGAAAACGCTAGGGCGCAATTGGTTTAGTGAACATACCATTTCCAACAGAATATTTCCGCTACTATTCCTGAAGAAGCGATAACCATTAACACGATTTAACGTTTCAGATAGGTTCCCGTTAATTTTTATCACGAAACTGGCCGATCACATCGGGTCTACCCTAAAATGAGCGCATTATTGAGAGCAGTACGCGCCCAAACGTCCGGCTTGCAGCCATGTGGAACACATGACCGAACCAGCAAAGGTAACTCGAGTTAAACAGGCTTTCTACTGGGGCATCAACTCTCCCGCTGTTTAGCAACAGATAGCGAAATTCGGTATCACCCGTCCAGTGTTCCCACCGCATGTGAACTAGAATTCTCAGGTATCGGTGGTCAAGCATGATTAGTTTTCTAATCTCCTTAACCTGCAGTCGTCAGATCTCTGATCTATACAGTGACACTATTCGCACCGTGGCTTTGTAAATTGACAATGGGTAATGTCCTCTCCCGCTACTCCTTAAGGGATTACGATTTGAAAGATCCACATTGGTCTTGCTTATACGTGCGAAATTCTCTTGGTGTGATCACCGGAGGTGATGTAGATCCTTAACTAATTAGCCGCTTCGGATGGGGTTAAGTGCTTGTGAAAACGTGTAGTGTCTGTTCTGCCGGGCACCGGCACGTTGCACTTTTAAGGCACAAAACACGCCGACGATCACAGTGCAACACAGTACAATAGGTGGGATATCCTGAAAGTAGCAATGATGTCCATGTACATTGAACTTGATCGTAGGCCATTTAACAGCCTGTATCTCAGAGGAAGTGAAAGAATTCAGTAGCGAGTTATTGGTGATCACTTCGATCAGTTAATTAAAAAAGAGAAGATATAGAGTAAACTCAGAGGAATTATTTGTAGATCATTACGCGGCTCTGAAATTGTGACATAGAGCTAGGCATTGTCACAGACACGTGCTACCAACAGAATCATATTTCTCGTGAGTAGCAGGATTTTGGTTTTAATTTTATTGATGTTTTCATCCCATAGTTCACATGCTACATAGCACAGCCTAGTCCGAGAAAGCACCAGACGCATTTCGCCCTATTGGGGCTCGTCAGTGGTGCATATTCCCTCGGTCCACTGCTATTGATCGGACCCATGACCGCTAGAGGCGGATGCCAACCCGCCAGCAGCTAAGGCCACTGAGCCATGGGGGACGTTAGCTGGGCTACATACTTTACAAACTAACTGGGATATAGCACCACCTATTTGTCACTGACAGTGGTTGGCCTGCGATGATCACCTTACAAGATTGCACGTATTATGCCATTTGGATATTTGTCGCAAAGTTAAAATGTGGTCAGTGCACTTTCTGTGATGGAACAGATTGGTTTGCACTAATTCGTCTCCTACGGGAACCCCTTAAACACCGGAATATGTTGTGTGCGTACAGTTCATAGAATGCCGTGATAAAGCGTGTGCATGGCATTTTTAGGCAACTTTACCGATGGATTGCCAATCAATTACCTAAGGGCATGTTTTCTTCTGCCAAATGGTGTCAGAACCCAAGACGGCCGCTAGGAGTGAACACCGTCGATAAGTATAGGTCGTGGAGTCTGTTATTGCCAGGCAACTATCCCACTCCCTTCCCATCAGTGCTAGCCTATATTGGGTTTTGTCTATGTTTTTTAATGTTATACCCACATCCGTATGCGAGTTCTGGTGGCATAGCTAACATTTCTGACGCAATGGGCCAGCGGAATGGTTCTCTAAAGCGTTCAGCCTAGCGTTTTATTCGGTTTAACCCTGAACTTGTGGCTTATTTTTCCATCCGTTATTTCATCGTGGATCATTCATGGACACGTGCATCGACTGAGTAGAAGCAGCATTCCAGTCTTCCCAGTGGCGCTGGTTTCCTGCACCCCCCGGACTCTCGCAGTGCACCTATGCCCTCGATGCATTCTGTAACTACAGACTAGGTATCATTTCAGTACTACGAGTTCTTTGAGACCAAGGTCCATATTTAATTATTACATGTTTTATTAAGGCAAATTGCTTGTTCACTCACTCATTTACCGATCATGTCATTCTGGGTTTTTTACGTATCACGCATTAGGGTCGGTCCCAGGCTTGATTCGGCCTCATACATCAGTTTCAGCGTATAATGCAGCTCAGACCATTACTACTCGCAGAATTGCAAGTGAAGTTTACGCGTACGCTCCTTCAGAGCTGAGCACTTTGCCGGGACTGAACGTTGAAGAGTATGGTCTAAGTCTAGATAAGTGCTCCACACCGACAGTTTGGTGCTAATGCGCGCTACTTCTGACTGATGGCATGTGATTACTTAAAGGTAGGTGGGTTTGTTAAAATTTATTTGGTCCGTCGCAATTACATCACGAACCAGAAAGGTCAGCTACCAATCCAGAGGGGTACCAGACAATGGTTTCTCCGTATTGGGTCACGTCAGTGGTGCGCATTCCCTCGGTGCCATTCAGCGAACCGAACCCATAACCACTACTGGCTTTGCACCACTGGACGGCATCTTATGTTATTGAGCCATGGGAAACGCTAGCCAACCATCCTGCATTGAGATCTAACCGCAATATAGCCAGACCCATCCTCAGCTTCAGTGCAGGTAATGGCGAGGTGGTTAACTCGAAGCAAGGACAGTTTATCTTCCATTGGCTAGCATGCATCTCATTATCACTGTTTGTTACAGAAAGCTGCCCTGCCGATATAGTTGAGGTTCGTTGCGTAGCTGAAGCAAACTATCACTATTGTCAGTAGGACAACTTCAACGCCGATACGACATTTGGACTCTGATACAAGGTCGATTTGGTGATTCACACTACTCACAGGGGTCCGTACTTCTAGTCATTTGGTTAACAGGCTAGATCCGATCTAAAAAAGTATCGTGGGTTGCTTCCCTCCTACCACCTCTGACAGCCATAACTGAAATAATATAAAGATGCTTTACATTGTGCTATTGTTTTTTTGAAGCCGATGAAGCTTCGAACTCGATCGACTTTTAATGGGACCCATGCGAGAAGATCAAGCTTCGCACGTCTGGGTAGTGGTTTATCATTGAGACATGAATTTTTAAAGCACGGTTATGTTGAACCGATGCTATTCTGTATGCTTCTTGCGGAGACAGCGCCACCAAGCTGCGTGGTTGTGTAGTTATGGCGAGTGTCACCTTTTCGGCCGATCCCAGTGTGCGGACATTGAACCACTTCCTATGTGCATTGGTGTTCTGTGTTTGATAGATGACGTGGCTTTCTTTCTAGTGGTAATGACGGGTTCAGTTGTGATCTCTGCTGATCAATACGGAAAACTTATTGTGCAATTGGGATAGAAGCCGTAATAGCGGAAAATTTTCTGGAGTCTGTCTAGAAACGATTACTAATCTGCCACTGCGCGGTTTGGTTAGTGTCTTTTTCTGGGACTTCGATCTGTTTATTGACGACCAGAAACAAGTATCGCAACATGAGCGTCTGGTTCCGTTCAGTTCGGTTGAACAAGTATCCTCCGAAGCTTGAAGTATGGTTCATCCAGTCGCCATGACTCGCGTTACTTGAATAATGATAAAAAGCAACTGTAAGGAGATGTTGATCACATGTAGAGCACGAAGGAAATGAATTCAGAAATGATGTTCGTAAACCCAACCAGGATGGAATAAAGAATGGTAATTCGATGCAATGGACCAACTGCAGAAGCGCCACTGACCTCGTCATGTCCGATAAAGTCTCCAACCACTAGTGTGGAACTTTCGTAGGCCGCCATCCATGAAGACGGCGCGCACCACCCTTGAGCAAGTCTCATAGTCAATTTATTTATATCTTTATGCTACCTCATTGATAGGTCACCTCGCTGTTTCAACCAACTTAGAGCAAAGAAATCTTATAAAGCATGCCACGGTTGGCGGTCAGCAGGCCTACGGATGGCATGACCTACCCAACGTTGGAAGTTAACCCCAGCCTCCACCTTGTTTGCCCTCACAACACCGTGAGCGAATCCCCCCGTAAATGTACGCTTTCCTCAGTTGTCAGTCCCCGACGATGTTACGCTTTATAACGATGCCATTTATTTCTCCTCATTTGTATTTTCTTTATCAATAGGAACAACCTTAAACTTGGGCTTTATTCACTGCAGCGTACCCACATTTCTGAAGCTATTTTCTCCTCTTTCTAGGCACTATCGTCTCAGTGGACACCAACCGGTCCCATACCTGGCCTGTGTGTGCACTTTGTCTCTCCGATGATTTGAAACTAACTGGTGCCCAACAATTGGAAAACGACGAATGTTGTTCGGCCAATACCAAACTTTCATCGAAATGCTCTATTTTTCAATGTGGCCAGTGTGGTAGCCAGGCTGTGGAAACGTTGCATTCCTGTGAACTAGAAGTGTTGGTTGCGTTGGTTACGGTGAAAGACGTGACTTTGGCCCGGCCACACGTGTTACTGATTGTAAGCAGTTCTGTTTTAGCACGGCTTTTTTAAATGCATACGGTGCTCACCACTGTTTCTTCGCTTTAATTTGTTTAGTTTCATCTTTCTGGCTTCACCCACACTCACAAACTTTATGGGCTAGTTAAGTTCTGGGACTTCATCCTTCCATCTTGGTATTCCTTACAGCTTTCATCGCTTCAGCTATGGCCTAGCTGGGCGATCAGTGAGCCTTAAATCGTCGGGCTAAACACCGGTTCAAACCGTAATGGTGAGCAAGTTAGAGGTCACACCAATTTTCGTATATCTTGCGTGTTGGGGCTGCATTTAGTGAACCACTCAGTATAGTTACATTCGAGGGGCTGGTTAAACACTGTCATTACTGCACGGATTTCTCTGTGTATCATTGTTGCTCTGGCGTTAAGCAGCTCGGAGCGTAATGATCGGATTCGTTTCTTGTAAATGATCCTCGTGGGTTTCCCATTAATCAGTTTCAAATGAACAACCGGCTGTATGGATAGTTTTTACTTACTCCACTGGGATTCTGTCTATTGTTGTCTATTTGAATTTTGAGTGGATTGGCTTTTACTTAACTTGTGTCTGGTCTCAACGCATTTTCCTGATTTGCAAGTTACTGTGAACTGTCCCGCTGAACTATCAGCCAACGGCAACTAAGGAAAATTTTCTCAGGAAAGCTTCTGCTTTTTTGTGTGGATCAACCAACATACCAGATGCACCACTGCGACTATTGCCAATACTGAATGAAGCATCAGTGACAAATTGCTTTCATACTGTCACCAGGGGTAGCGCACCACAACACCTAAAGGTGTCAACTGGTCACATACAGGTATCTCAAAGGTCGAATCAGAGAACCAGCTGAGTGCTTGGGTCAATGGTTGCTTTGTATTGCGCGACTTGTCACAGTACCTGATACAATCAACATGACAAGAGTGGATCCGTCGCAAACGAGACTGGACCTTAACGTTGTGCGACGGTTTGCATACTTTGTTGACCCATTGAGCTGCACTGGGTTATGCCCACGAGCCCCTTAAGAGCTACTCCTACCAGTTTGGTCGATGGTTAGAGGTCAGACAAACTCAATCTCCCGGTCCTTGAGGTTGGAATTAAGATGGCAGCCATTTCGGTAAAACCCAATCATTGTCACATCCGCTGCCTTGCGGACATGTTTTTGAGCCTAAGGTTTTGGTTGAGGACCCTATTCGTCCTCTTGTCTATGTCCGGACTCCATGGCAGTATCTCAACTCACATACAACCATGACTTTTTCTTCCAATATGAACTTCATCCTGCATCGGCAGTCGCACAACCCATCAACGGTCGCCTTATCTGCTGCATACAGCAGGGTGGATAAGCGAAAACATGATACGGCTGGCGCCTCCTTTCTTTCCTTTCCACTGTTTCTCTTGCTCCCATCTCAACTCCCCTTACTAACCTTCCTATAATTCTCAGCTTAGTTGACAGCAGCCGCAATGACACTGGAGTCGAACCAACTGCAGCTATCTTCCTGCACCACCCACCGAACGCCAATCGCCAACAGCTCTTTAGAACGCCACACTGCCTATTTTCCTTGGCGGCGTTCAACGTTCGCACTCTAAGACAAATATGTCAACAGATTGCATTCGCACGCATTTTGGAACATTGGGTATTGACATGTTTTATTTGTCCGAAACTAGGATCAATGGCGTTCGCAGGACCGTTGAAATGACTGCACCGGCTTGTTCTCTCATTATTGGTTGCACGCATCCGGCGACGCTGACTCACTGATCAAGCTGGATTAGGCATCGTTCTTAGCCGCAAGACTAAATTATCATTGGTTTAACAGCGGTTTATGTGCAGCCCGTTTGACATCAACTAAGGTTGATTCACAAGGTAATACGAGACGTTGTTTGTTTATGGTTTCCGCTTATGCTGCCGAAGATGACTTCTGTGAAGAACTAAACACGCTTCTTCGCGGTGCCACCTTTTCAGATATCAAAGTTCTTACAGTGGATATGAATGCGGAATTAAATCGTCTGAGCTCTTTAAACACTCAGCTAGGTTATAAGTGCGCACAACGTTGAGCTTCTGTTACAGCTGTGTGCAGAGCACCGAATGTTCCTTAGTAGCATCGTTTTTAAACATAGTGGGCGCCGAATTGCTACTTGGCGTCCACCTATAGCTAGTCAGCGATGGACCCAGATACATCACGTTGCCATAAGTTACAAGTGGCGTGTTTTCATCTTGAGCTGTCGCTCGTTCTGGAGTACTTACATCGACTCTGATCTTGTTTTGTTCTTATGCTGATTTTCCATGAACTCTACCAGGAGGCGTTCCAAGCCTCTCCCTCTATTGGCAACTGAAAAATTGTCAACCCTCAATCAGGCATGCATACTAGGATGTCCTGCGTACCGAATTTTCGCTCTCTGACACTGAGCGTCATTGGAATAAGATTACGGCCATCATGCACAATGCGGGAGCCTCTGCTTGATGCACTATCAATCTTCATCACACCAGTCAAAGGCTACCCGAGACGTCGGTGAACTTGTTGAAATCCAGAAGAAATCTCCTGGCTGGTTTTGAGCGCAGTGTAACTAGGCGGACCATTAGGCTCGAACTAAAGCGGAGCTTGCTTGCTGCTAAGGAAATAGAGGAAGCAAGAGCCGTGGGCAATTACTGCAAACTCTTTCAGCTGATCCGCACCACTGGTTCCAGAAAACCAGGCGCCAGTGTAATAATCACAGGCAGCGCGGGTTCCATAATTCACAACATGAAGCACCGTATTGCTCGTTGGCCCCCTGCTGCTGGACTTACTACTCAGATGATTCAGTATGAGCCACGGACGGTTAAATTAAAGGCTCTGTCGGAGACTGAGGTCCAAAGCACAATCGCAGCCCTCAGTCGTTTTCCTTCTGTTAGCCCAGATTCCATCTCACGCGCACTGTCTATGAATGGTGGTGAGGTCTTCGGCAAATCACTCACCTCACTATGCGAACATGTATGTATGGAAGAGACCATCCCAGGTAACTGGAGTGAATCGGTTATAGCGGCAATATACGAGAAGGTCAGTCGCACAAACTGCTAATTTCAGAGGTCTTAGTCAAACGCCGGTGGTGACAAAATTACTGGCCCAAGTTTTGTTCGTCGCTTTACTGCGGAACGGGAATCCCGGATATCTTTCCGACAACAAGTGATGTTCGTCAGTGTTGCCCAGTTTTCCCATTTTTGTTCTGCTTTGTCGTGGCTTCATCATGAAGTGTTCCCTTGCGGTATCACGATGCAGACCTTGAGGTGCTGCCTGGTGAAAGACTAGTTGTTATTGATTATTGGACGATATCGTTTTAACCATATGGCGACGCAATCAACACTGTATAATAATATGTCAGCTTTACGCCGTAACGGCGCTTCGCTGCCGCGCAACCACCAACAGTCGCGCGCGGGCTGAGTATACCGCGAGGACGCCCACCCCTACGCGGAATCAACACTGTATAACCTGTTTAGAGTGCTCCCCTCATTTGGTATTCGCTTCGCACCTTCAAAGTGCAAATTGTTGTTGCAGGGCTACCAGGCACTTGATGACGCCTTGAATCTTAAGAGCGTGGAACTCGTGGTAGTTGATCAACTCACTTACCTTGGCAGACGCCTCAGCAACGATGGTCACGTAACCACGTATTACAAAAGTCACAACTGCCTTTTATGTCTGAGACATCTGTGGCGCCAGAAATCGGTTTCGTTCAGTCTGAAAGGCTGTGTTTACTAGTTCACACTGGGCCGTCCTATTCTATGGGAGTGAGACTTGGCTGCTTCTATCAGAAAATCCGAAGTGCCTTCAAGTCCTTTGATCATCCTTATCTGCAAAGCATTGCTGGTGTCGGATGGCATCAGCGTGTCCGCGTAGGCGAATGGTAGACAGTGTTGATCCTTAGAACGACAGATAGCACTGAATAAGTTGCGTTGTTTTGAGCACTTATCTTCGCATACCGAGGAGGGCCTTGTTTTATCTGCCAGATGTAGGGTGGCGCACGGTTCGAGGTCGACAAAAGTTAACTTGGCAGCGGGAAATGAAGTCACTTACTTCAAAACTTAATGATATTGGTCTGTCTTGCCTTCCAGGCTGTAGTCCACGTTACCCAACTTGTGCTTGGCTCTAGACTTTACAGAACATGGCTCGCAGTCGGCACCATTGGCAAGTCTACTGTTGTCTCTTAGCCGGACTGCCTGTTTAAAGTGTGTTTGATGCTGAGTTAACTGCCTGATAATGGCTGATTATGACGTGGGGCAGTGAAGGCCGCACAATACTTGTCTCGCTGATACCGCCTTATCATTGCACAATAGCCAGCTGTTTGTGACGTTATGTTGTTGACACAAGGTGTGGGCGCCTTGACACTGAGTGTTTGCTTAGGGCAGTATACTTTTATGCTAGGTCCCCTTTCCCTATTATTAGTCTTCGTTCCGCAGACCACCTTGGTTGTACGGCAGCAAAGTATCAATTCACCTGGTTGTTGTACTGCTATTATTGTTGACGTTGTTCACACTTGGGACAAAGCCAGGTAATGGCGTGGTATGATGTATTTCCGAGAACTCGTAACCATCATTTTTATTCGAGTTGTTGCCAACACACGAATTCGTTCACGCTATCATGCCTAGTTGCACGGAGTAGGAAATGTCATACTTACAATTATAGGACTCTGCATCCCTACCTCACGGAAGGAGTTCCACTCTGTTTCTTATGTACCCTACGTATGTTTGCAAACCTATGTTCTACACCAGTCAGTGAGTAGCAGACCATGTTCTGCACTAACGATATTGCCACAAAATGTATGTTTGACGTCCTTAAGTACTTTCATCTAAATTTACATGCTTTTGTGAGGATCAACTGGTAACATTGCTTAAATGAGATTTAGGCTATCTCCTGAAGAACCATTACTTTTGCTCGCTTACCTTCTGGTCTTGCATCCACAGTTCAATAACTATGCCTGGACTTTTGCGCAGTACAACCTATACGTTGGGCTGCGTTCTGTATCCT